GGCCAAGAAACACGAGCAATGGACATTAGATCGGTGGAAATGTGTCCTTTGGTCTGGAGTCTAAATTGGAGATTTCTGGTTCCAACCGCCGTGGCTTTGTGAGACGTGTTGTGGGTGAACGGATGATCTCCGCATGTATATTTCCCACCTTAAAGCATGGAGGAGGAGGTGTTATAGTGTGGGGGAGCTTTGCTGGTGACACTGTCTGTGATTTATTTAGAATTCAAGGCACACTTAACCAGCATGGCTACCACAGCATTCTGCAGTGATACGCCATCCCATCTGGTTTGGGCTTAGTGGGACTATCATTCGTTTTTTCAACAGGACAATGACCCAACACACCTCCAGGCTGTGTAAGGGCTATTTTACCAAGAAGGAGAGTGATGGAGTGCTGCATCAGATGATCTGGCTTCCACAATCACCCGACCTCAACCCAATTGAGATGGTTTGGGATGAGTCGGACTGCAGAGTGAAGGAAAAGCAGCCAACAAGTGCTCAGCATATGTGGGAACTCCTTCAAGACTGTTGGAAAAGCATTCCAAGTGAAGCTGGTTGAGAGAATGCCAAGAGTGTGCAAAGCTGTCATCAAGGCAGAGGGTGGCTATTTAAAGAATCTCAAATATAAAATATAATTTGATTTTTTGAACACTTTTTTGGTTACTACATGATTCCATATGTGTTATTTCATAGTTTTGATGTCTTCACTATTATTCTACAATGTAGAAAATAGTAAAAATAAAGAAAAACCCTTGAATGAGTAGGTGTTCTAAACCTTTTGACCGGTAGTGTATATATATATATATATATATATATATATATATATATATACAGTACATTCAGACAGTTTTCAGACCCCTTGACTTTTTCCACATTTTATTATGTTACAAACTTATTCTAAAATTGATTAAATTGTTTTTTTTTGTCATCAATCTACACACAATACCCCATAATGACAAAGCAAAAACCGTTTTTTTTTAAATAAAAAAACTGAACTATCACATTTACAAAAGTATTCAGACCCTTTACTCAGTATTTTGTGGTCCTCTGTAGCTCAATTGGTAGAGCATGGCGCTTGTAACGCCAGGGTAGTGGTTTCGATCCCCGGGACCACCCATATGTAAAAATTTATGCACGCATGACTGTAAGTCGCTTTGGATAAAAGCGTCTGCTGAATGGCATATTATTATTATTTTTGTTGAAGCATCTTTGGCAGCGATTATAGCCTCGAGTCTTCTTGGGTATGACGCTACAAGCTTGGCAAAGGAGATGATTGTGGACTACAGGAAAAAGAAGAGGACCGAGCACGCCCCCATACTCATCGACGGGGCTGTAGTGGAGCAGGTTGAGAGCTTCAAGTTCCTTGGTGTCCACATCCCCAACAAACTAACATGGTCCAAGCACACCAAGACAGTCGTGAAGAGGGCACGACAAAACCTATTCCCCCTAAGGAGACTGAAAAGATTTGGCATGGGTCCTCAGATCCTCAGAAGGTTCTACAGCTGCACCATCGAGAGCATCCTGACTGGTTGTATCACTGCCTGGTATGGCAACTGCTCGGCCTCCGACAGCAAGGCACTACAGAGGGTAGTGCGTATGGCCCAGTACATCACTGGGGCCAAGCTTCCTGCCATCCAGGACCTCTATATCAGGTCAGAGGAAGGCCTTAAAAATGGTCAAAGACTCCAGCCACCCTAGTAATAGATTGTTCTCTCTGCTACCCCACGGCAAGCGGTACCGGAGCACCAAGTCTAGGTCCAAGAGGCTTCTAAACAGCTTCTACCCACAAGCCATCAGACTCCTGAACATCTAATCAAATGGCTACCCAGACTATTTGCATTGCATCATTTGATTTGATTTGATTTGGGGACTTTCTCCCATTCTTCTCTGCAGATCCTCTCAAGCTCTGAGAGGTTGGATGGGGAGCGTCGCTGCACAGCTATTTTCAGGTCTCTCCAGAGATGTTAGGTCGGGTTCAAGTCCGGGCTCTGGCTGGGCCACTCAAGGACATTCAGTGACTTCCCCCGAAGCCACTCCTGCGTTGTCTTGGCTGTGTGCTTAGAGTTGTTGTCCTGTTGGAAGGTGAACCTTCGCCCCAGTCTGAGGTTTTCATCAAGTATCTCTCTGTACTTTGCTCTGTTCATCTCACCCTCGATCCTGACTAGTCTCCCAGTCCCTGCTGCTGAAAAACATCCCCACAGCATGATGCTGCCACCACCATGCTTCACTGTAGGGATGGTGCCATGTTTCCTCCAGATGTGACACTTGGCATTCAGGCCAAAGAGTTCAACCTTGGTTTCATCAGACCAGAGAATCTTGTTTCTCATGGCGGGCTGTCATGTGCATTTTACTGAGGAGTGGCTTCCGTCTGGCCACTCAACCATAAAGGCCTGATTGGTGGAGTGCTGAAGAGATGGTTGTCCTTCTGGAAAGTTCTCCCATCTCCACAGAGGAACTCTGGAGCTCTGTCAGAGTGACTATCGGGTTCTTGGTCACCTCCATGACCAAGGCCCTTCTCCCCCGATTGCTCCGTTTGGCCGGGCAACCAGCTCTAGGAAGAGTCTTGGTGTTTCCAAACTTCTTTCATTTAAGAATGATGGAGATCACTGTGTTCTTGGGGACCTTCAATGCTGCAGAAATGTTTTGGTACCCTTCCCCAGATCTCTGCCTCGACACAATCCTGTCTCAGAGCTCTACGGACAATTCCTTTGACCTCTTGGCTTGGTTTTTGCTCTGATATGCACTGTTAACTGTGAGACCTTATATAGACAGGTGTGTGCCTTTCCAAATCTTGTCCAATCAATTGAATTTGTCACAGGTGGACTCCAATCAAGCTGTAGAAACATCTCAAGGATGATCAATGTAAACAGGATGCAACTGAGCTCAATTTAAAGTCTCATAGCAAAGGGTCTGAATACTTATGTAAATATGGTATTTATGTTTTTTTATTTTCAATACATTTGCACAGATTTATAAAAACCAGTTTTCGCTTCGTCATTACGGGGTATTGTGTGTAGATTGATGAGGGAAAAAAATAATTTAATCAATTTTAGAATAAGGCTGTAACGTAACAAAATGTGGAAAAGGTCAAGGGTTATAAATACTTTCCGAACGCACTGTATATTCAAATAATAATTATACTTTTTTGTAATGCACCAACCCACAGTTTGGAAACCACTGCTCTACTGTACCCATAGAGATACACTATAACACTAGAGTGGCTTATGTCATAAACCTTAAACCAGAGGGCAATGTCGCCCATATTTCGATATAATTCCTGTTTTATAGCAGAAATGCTTATTTTAGTTCAGCCACCGAAGAATGATGGGGGCTACTAATAGATATGCCTGAATTGGGGGTGTGCACACATATCATTGTTGGGAATTCCACTTGGAGTGGAGAGAAACAACAACAAATAGGGAGGAGAGGGCACTGACACTGATAGCTAGCTGATATGGAGGGCACCATAGAATTAGGACATTGAATACTATTTAGAATGGACATGAACCTTCTTATGATGGGACACAAGTCAGCCATTTTGGTCAGGGTGTTGGTGATAAGATATTGTGTAAAATAATGAATTTGAAGAATATATCTGCACTGTATGTTTGTTAGCTAGCTAGCCAGACAGTTTTAGAGGAATTAGTCCATTGATTGTTCTAATTAACTGCCAATATGCCAACATTCCATTCAAACAGCAGTAAAGCCATAGCCAGACAATGGCTGAAATCAGTTGATGATAGGACTTAGACAAGTTGTTAATGCAACAAGTACTGATATTGTATCATATAATAGCACTCACAGCTTTCCGAGAAAACACAAATGTTGACATTTATGGTCTGTGTACATGGGCCTACATTTTAGAGGCTATTATTTATACAGAAAATGTTTTTCAAACCCATATAAACTGTATTTATAATTACATGACAATATTTGAGCTTGACAATAATTATATTGCACAATTTCTGATATCACATACCTTACTTTTATTTTCCTGCATACGTAAAATCAGGATTATGCATCTACTGCCATTAATTCCAATTAGACTGGTTTGAATTTTCCCTGACCATTATGGCTGCCATTTTCACCCCATTCTGTTACTTTGAGGATTGATGACATAGCCCTTCTTGTAATTTAATAGGATCTATATGGAGGGCATTGACAGCTAGCTAGCTTTCTAGCTAGTAATGTTATCTCTTATTTTCGCCAAAGACAAAAAGATCAATGCGTTTGAGTCCTTATGCCATAGCTAATCTCCGATTGTTTTAATGGGGACAAGAGGCAGGGAGGAGAGGCAGGGAGGAGAGGCAGGGAGGAGAAGAAGGGAGGCGGGGAGGAGAGATGGAGAGGAGGGGCAGGGGAGAAGAGGCAGGGAGGAGGGGAGAGGAGGAAAGGCAGTGAGAAGAGGGGGGGTGGGAGGAGGGGTGGAGAGGCAGGGAGAAGAGACAGGGAGGAGAGAAAGGGAGGAGGGGATGGGAGGAGAAGCAAGGAGGAGGGGAGGAGAGGCGGGGAGGAGGGGCAGGTTAGGGGGGAGAGGAGAGGCAGGAAGGATGGGAGGGAGGGAGGAGGAGGCAGGCAAGATGGGAGGAAAGGCAGAGAAAAGGGGAGAGGGGCAAGGGAGCAGGGACAGGAAGGAGGGGAGAGGAAGAGAGGCAGGAAGAAGGGGAGAAGATGAGAGGCAGGGAGGGACATAGAGGAATGAGGGATGGCTGCATTAGCTTAATAACAAGAGCCACACACACACACACACACACACACACACAGAGGGACCGTGATGGACGGACATGCACGCGAGCACACACACACTCACTCACTTTCTCTCTCTCGCTCTCTCTCCTTAAAACCTTTCTGTCCTTGTAAAAACAGACAGACAGCAGCTAGAGGGACCGGTCAGAATGATACACAGGCAGGAAAATGTCCACTGTGTCCTTTCAGAATGTTTTCACTGTTTACTGAGCACAGTTGAGATGCTCTGTGACATGGATTGTTGTTTTGACTGACACATGGTATGTCTATGCTGCTGTCTGTCTGACTGTTATGACTGAGATACTATGGTCTGTGTTGCTGAGTTTTAACTGACACATGGTCTGTTGCTGTGTCTGTTGTGCAGGCGGAGTGGCGAGAGGAGGTGAAGCAGCACTTTGAAAAGATCAAGTCTGAGGGGACGTGTATACACAGATTGGACGAGGAGATGATCATACGACGCAAAGAGGAGCTCAGGTACAGGGAGAGTATTATGGATGGATGAATGAATATTTGAGTGAGTGAGTGAGTGAGTGAGTGAGTGAGTGAGTGAGTGAGTGAGTGAGTGAGTGAGTGAGTGAGTGAGTGAGTGAGTGAGTGAGAAGGCAAGGGAATGAACATACAGTAATAATCCTACAATAGATACATACATACAAACATACATACATTGCTACATACATACATTGCTACATACATAAATACATACATACATACATACATATAGTGCATTCGCAAAGTATTCAGAACTTTTGACTTTTTCCACATTTTGTTACATTACAGCCTTATTCTCAAATTGATTAAATAAATATTTTTCCTCATCAATCTACACACAATACCCCATAATGACAAAGCGAAAACAGGTTTTTAACATTTTAGCAAATGTATTAAAAATAAAAAACTGAAATACCTTATTTACATAAGTATTCAGACCCTTTGCTACGAGACTCATAATTGAGCTCAGGTGCATCCTGTTTCCATTGATCATCCTTGAGATGTTTCTACAGCTTGATTGGAGTCCACCTGTGGTAAATTCAATTGATTGGACAGTATTTGGAAGGGCACACACCTGTATATATAAGGTCTCACAGTTAACAGTGCATATCAGAGCAAAAACCAAGCCATGAGGTCGAAGGAATTGTCCGTAGAGCTCCGAGAGAGGATTGTGTCGAGGCACAGATCTGGGGAAGGGTACGAAAACATTTCTGCAGCATTGAAGATCCCCAAGAACACAGTAGCCTCCATCATTCTTAAATGGAATACGTTTGGAAACACCAAGACTCTTCCAAACTGAGCAATCGGGGGAGAAGGGCCTTGGTCAGGGAAGTGACCAAGAACCCGATGGTCACTCTGACAGAGCTCCAGAGTTCCTCTGTGGAGATGGGGGAACCTTCCAGAAGGACAACCATCTCTGCAGCACTCCAGGCATAAGCCACTCCTCAGTAAAAGGAACATGACAGCCCGCTTCGAGTTTGCCAATGAGCACTTAAAGGACTCTCAGACCATGAGAAACAAGATTCTCTGGTCAGATGAAGCCAAAATTGAACTCTTTGGCCTAAATGCTAAGCGTCACGTCTGGAGGAAACCTGGGATGTTTTTCAGCGGCAGTATCTGGGAGACTAGTCAGAATCGAGGGAGAGATCCTTGATGAAAACCTGCTCCAGAGCGCTCAGGACCTCAGACTGGGGCAAAGGTTCACCTTCCAACAGGACAACGACCCTAAGTACACAGCTAAGACAATGCAGGAGTGGCTTCCGGACAAGTCTCTGAATGTCCTTGAGTGGCCCAGCCAGAGCCCGGACTTGAACCAGATCAAACATCTCTGAAGATACCTGAAAATAGCTGTGCAGCAACGCTCCCCATCCAATCTGACAGAGCTTGAGAGGATCTGCAGAGAAGAATGTGAGAAACTCCCCAAATACAGGTGTGCCAAGCTGGTAGCGTCATACCTAAGAAGACTCGAGGCTGTAATCGCTGCCAAAGGTGGTTCAACAAAGTACTGAGTAAAGGATCTGAATACTTATGTAAATGTAATATTTCAGTTTTTAGCAAAAAGTTCTAAAAACCTGTTTTTGCTTCGTCATTATGGTGTATTGTGTGCAGATTGATGAATCAATTTTAGAATAAGGCTGTAACCTACCAAAATGTGGAAAAAGTCAAGGGATCTGAATACTTTCCGAAGTCACCGTAGATACATACATACATACTGTGGCAGATCAGGGGGTTGGGTCAAGACGTTTACACAGATCAGACACGGACAGAGTATGATTAGCTCGGTTTCAAGGGTGTTTATTAATAAAATAATCAAAAGAAAAGGTTAGGTCTCCCCCATGAGACCCTCTCCAGGATACCGTCTTCAACTACACAGAAGTTACCTTACTTCCCCCAGTCCTCCCTCATGTGCTGCCCTTCTGGCAGCTTTATGGGCCTTGCACAGCTGGTGAGCAATCCACCCTTAATTACTCACCAGCTCCCAATCAGCCCCAATTAGTCCTGTCCGGGGAGCCCGTCGAGACCTGGCACGTCCAGCAGATGGAGCCACCGCCTCGTGATGTATACTCCATCTGTTACCAGGCCTCGACGAATCTCCCCCTGGTGTGGCTGACCTGCTGTACACCCGCCCCCTCCCCTTAGCTCTGTCGGGGAGGGGGCGGTCATCAGTGCAACATCTGTCTCCCTTCTCGATAGGGCATCCGCGTTTCCATGCTTCACCCCTGACCTGTGCACAACAGAAAAAGAGAAGAGTTGAAGGGACAAGAACCACCTGGTGACCCGATCGTATGTGTCTTCACTGTGACCAGGGTGAAGTGGGTACCTAACAGGTAATACTTGAGAGTGTCTAGCGCCCACTTCACCGCCAGACACTCTTTCTCAACAATTGATTTTTTTTTTTTGCTCTTGGTATCAGCTTTCGGATGATTTACATGATGGGGTGCTCCTCCCCATCATGTATCTGGGACAGAACGGCCCCTAGTCCCCTGGTTAGATCGGTGAGGGGGGAAGCTATAGCCGCAATGTTGGGGATAAACCGGCTATAGTATCCTGCCAGTCCCAGGAAGAACTTGACCTGTGTCTTGGTGCGTGGAACGGGCCAGTCACGTACCGCGTGAACCTTCCTCTCCTGGGGCTTGACGTCCCCCCGTCCAATCAAATACACCAGGTACTCCACCTCCTAGAACCCTAGCTTGCATTTCTTGGGGTTTGCGGTCAACCCAGCTTGTCTGAGCGCATCCAGCACCGCCTGGAGGCGCGTCAGGTGCTCCTCCCAACCTTGGCTGTGGATGATGATATCATCCATATAGGCCGCTGCGTACTGCTGGTGGGGTCGAAGCACTCTGTTCATCAGTCGCTGGAATGTGGGGGGAGGGGGGCTCCGTGGAGACTGAACGGGAGCACCCGGTACTGGTATAGACCGTCTGGTGTCGAGAACGTCATCTTCTCCCGGGAGGAGACTGCCAATGGTACCTGCCAATATCCTTTGGTCAGGTCAAGGGTGCTGATGTACCGGGCCTTTCCCAATCGGTCGATTAGCTCGTCTACCCTCGGCATGGGGTAGGCATCGAATATGCTTATGTCGTTCACACCCCAAAAATCATTACAGAACCGGAGGCTACCATCCGGTTTGGGCACCAACACGATGGGGCTGCACCATGCACTGTGGGACTCTTCAACGAACCCCATCCTCAGCATAGCCTCCACTTCCACGGCCCTCCTCATCCCGGTCCAGTGGAACCGGGCGGCGATCCGTTCCCGGGTCTTCTCCATTCCCAGGTGCACTCCCAACAGGTGGGTGTGGGCCAGCTGAAGAACGGTTCCTACGTACCGTCGGGGCGGCAACAATACCTCTCGAAGTTCCCCCTGTTGGCACGACACCTGATACAAAAGGTTATTCTTAATTTGGAAATGGGGGTATCGCCAGTCACTCACCCCCGGAAGTAGCTGTCCATCCACCGCTATTACTTGGGCTGCGGCAGCTTTCAAATTCGGATCCTCCCACTGGGCCGTCCCGAATTGTCCCCTCAGTTGGCCCCCAACGGGGGTCTCGACTGGCCCCTCGAAATCGAGAAGGGGGATGCTCGGCTCCTCCTCCAGTGGTTCCCCAGGGGGTTCGGGTTCCGGCTCCCCCTCCCCCTCCGACTCCGACTCCGGACCCGTAGAGTCAGGTTGGTTAACTGGTGGTGCCTGGCCGCACTGGCGAGGGGTCGTCCCCGCTCTCTTCTTTGGCCGGCTCGTATTTTTTTTCAACTCGTGCCACCATAGGGCCGTGAACAGCGGACAATCCCGTCCCACTAGGATAGGTACCGGCAGCTCTGGTACTGCACCCACCATCATCTGGCAGCTCCCTTGTGGTGTCACGATGTTGGTCCATACGGCGGGATACTGCTTTTTGTCACCGTGAAGACAGGAAATGGACATCTCCCTACCCCATTCGGTCTCCTGGTTCAGCAGGCTCGTGGTTACGAGCGTAACCATGCTTCCGGAGTCAAATAGCGCTTCCGTGTCGTGTCCGTCAACCTTCACCGGGACCATGGGTGCAGTTGATTCATGGTGCGCCCAACAGGAGGTGACATAGTTCACGGCGTGACCCACCTGGCCTCCGGTGCTAGCTGATGGCATCGACTCCTATCGAGCAGGGCAATTGCAGGCCATGTGCCCCCGGGCACCACACTCAAAACACCTCCATTGGTCTCCATCTACCTGGGGTTGTCGGTGGCGGGTCGGCCATTCCCCAGCCGTCTCTCCACGGGTTTGCGGTCCCTTGGCCCTGCCGACTGTCGGTTCGGGGTACACCACGGTGGGGTTGTCCTTCCGTCCCCTCGCACAGGTCGCCGACTCGTCCCGGCTCCCCCTCAGTAGGGCCTGAGTGTTCTGATGCGTCTCCACTGCTTCCAGGAGGCCCTCCAAGGTCTGGGGCGCTCATAGGTTCGCTGCCCTCTTCATGTCATGGGGCAGCGCCCGTACGAAGCGATCCAGGACCACTTTGTCGAGGAGGGAGAGGGTGGATACGTCGGTTAGGAGCCATGCCCTGGTGACGCGCAGGTTGCTCTTCGGGTACGAACCTCCAGTCGTTGAACCGTTGAGCCCGATGGGCCAGGCTGTACCCATAGCAGCAGATGGAGCCACCGCCTCGTGATGTATACTCCATCTGTTACCAGGCCTCGACGAGTCTCCCCCTAGTGGCTGACCTGCTGTACGCCACAATACATATATAGCTACATACCTACATAGCTACATACATACATACACATATACGTAGCTACATACATACAGTTGAAGTCGGAAGTTTGCATACACTTAGGTTTGGAGTCATAAAAAACTTGTTTTTCAACCACTCCAGAAATGTCTTGTTTACAAACTATAGTTTTGGCAAGTTGGTTAGGACATCTACTTTGTGCATGACACAAGTAATTTTTCCAACAATGGTTTACAGACAGATTATTTCACTTATAATTCACTGTATCACAATTCCAGTGGGTCAGAAGTGTACATACACTAAGTTGACTGTGCCTTTCAACAGCTTGAAAAACGGAGTTTAAATGTATTTGGCTAAGGTGTTTGTAAACTTCCGACTTCAACTGTACATACATACATACATACATACAACAAAAGCTGTTCTGTGTGTGTTGCTTATGGCTGTCCATTGATGTTAATGATGTCGCTCCCAATTGTGGTCATTGCGCCTTTGCAGACAGTAAATTAATAGCTAGCTGTTATGTGTGTAATAACGCTGTCCGTCCCTTCCATTCTCTTTCTCTCTCTCTCTCCCTCTCAGGCATGCCCTGGACATCCGTGAGCACTATGAGAGGAAGCTGGAGAGAGCCAACAACCTCTACATGGAGCTCAATGCTGTCATGTTACAGCTGGAACTAAAGGAGAAAGAGCTACTCAAGTAATATTCATATTTATTGTTGCACACCTTACAATCAATATCCACCTGTGTATACAACATTCATGGTTATCTGCCAAAGACACATGGAGGGAGAGGGAATAGCAGACCTAATGTAATACATAATACAGACGTTTGTGATGTGTTTGTTGTGTTCAAGGAATGAATGAATGAATGAACGAACAAACAAACAATGTTGTGTGTGTGTTTCCCAGGAGGGAGCAGTCCCTGGATAAGAAGTACCCAGGATGCATCAAACACCACAGCTCCAGACAAGAACGCTCACCCAACTCCATGGAGAAACTCATCAAGAAACGCAACGTACCTCAGAAACTGGCATCTCACAGCAAGAGGTGAGACTGAGGAGGGGGAAACCAATGAACCATTCACACTCACTAATCCCACATATTCAATCCCTGTCTGTATATACTGTATGTGTTTTGGATTAAATAGCATGTAACACTTATAGGGCATACAGTTATTATGTATTATTACTTGTTGTAAGCATGCACAGTATGCGCCTTCAATGTATATAGTTTATTTGGATACAAGGGTAAAGGCTGTAGCTGCATCCATTTCTCTTGACTTGACTTTGACTTTATTGATTCAGTGTACAGAAACTGTAGACTTTACTCACTGTGTGTTCCAGTAGGCCAGACCTGCTAAAGTCAGAGGTGATCCTCCCCAAACTGGACTCCTCCATGACCCAGGTGACCATCCCCTCCTGCCCCCAGAAGGGCTCCACGTCCCCGGGGAGGTCGCGCCGGGCCAAGCCCCGCTACAGGAAGGCAGGGAAGGGCAGCAGTGGAGACCTGGCTGGGCTGAAGGCAGCCTTGTCCTCTACCCTGGGCTTGGCTAATACTATGTCACTGACCACCACCAACACCACCAACACCACCTCCACACCCAGGTATTTACACTGAGTGTACAAAACATTAAGAACAACTTCCTAATATTGAGTTGCACCACCCCCCCTATTTGCCCTCAGAACAGCCACAATTTGTCATGTCATGGCATCAAAACCCAGCAGCGTTGCAGTTCTTGACACAAACCGGTGCGCCTGGCACCTACTACCATACCCGTTCAAAGGCACTTAAATCTTTTGTCTTGTCCATTCACCCTCTGAAAGGCACACATACACAATCCATGTCTCAATTGTCTCAAGGCTTAAAAATCATGATTTAACCTCTCCTTCCCTTCATCTACACTGATTGAAGTGAATTTAACAAGTTACATCAATAAGGGATCTTAGCTTTCACCTGGATTCACCTGGTCAGTCTATGTCATGGAAAGTTAATAATGTTTTGTACACTCAGTGTATATTGAAAGCTATCCTCTACTTGATGTGTAGTTGTGTGCATTTGTTTTTATGTGTCCAGTCTGTGTTTCTATCTCAATTAATCTTTCCTTGATTCCTCGCAACCTCTGTCAAAGAAGAAGAAGGTTCGAGGGGAGGGACCTTGGACCTTCTCCTCCAATACAATTGAGAAAAATGTGAGGAATCGCAAAAAGACGCATTGAGATGGAGCCAGGGTGTAATTTTGCTGCAACCAAATCGCCCTTCAGGGCCCACAATAAAGATGTATTCTCCCCCCCAGCAGCAAGCAGCACCTGGACCCCAGCGCAGCCCTAAGAGGTCTCCAACATGACCTGCTGCTGAAGAAGATGTCCTCGTCCAGTCCCAGACCTTATCTCCACCACTCTGGAGGCAGAGGGCCGCCACAGGGGACAGGAGAAGCCCGGCCTGGAGAGAGGGGGCAGCCAGAGCGCCTCTGCTGGCCTGGGAGGAGGAGGTGATGAATAGTTATAATAATGTCCCATAGGGAAATTTGCTAGTAATATACAGGGATACATTGCATACATATTATGTACGTCCCAAATTGCAACCTATTCCCTACATAGTGCACTACTTTTAACTAGAGACCTATGGTAGTGCACTATAAAGGGAATAGTGTGCCATTTGGGACACATCCATAATAGATCACATACAACACTTCAGTCACAGGACATAATACACAAGACATGATCAGACAGACATTCGTTATTAAATACACTGTAGATGTTGGGTTATGGTGTATAGTCCTTCTGTATTTAGGAAATAAGGAAACTGACGCTGGTTGGTATGAATGACTTGCAGGTCGAGGAGGAGGTCGAGGTGGAGGAGGGACAGACGATCAGACAGAGACCCCAATTCGTAGTGACACCCCCAGCGAGGAGGCGGCCTCCATCCCGTTCTCCAGTAGCCCAGATTCACCCTGTGGGAGGGGGGCGACAGCAAGTGGGTCGGTGCTGGGAGGCCCAGGGAGAATACCCCAGGATGGGGAGGAGAAGGAGGAGGAGGAGACAGGGATCATAAGGTCACCCAGGAGCCACCTCACACCTGCAGCACTGCTCTACCGGAAACAGGTCACACGCAAACAGGTAGGTCTGTCACAGTACTGTAATAAAGATGCTGGGCCAGAAAAAGCTGTTTCGAATAAGAAAATAATGCATTGTCTGTAGTGCATGCGGTGCTGGTTCTTTTCTTTAAAATATTCCAACAATGTTCCAAATAAATTGAGAAAAAGGTTGTAAGATGAAGCTGATCCCTTTCTAAGTCTTATCATATCTCTTCCCTGTCTCCTCCAGAGACGTGGTGTGTCCTCAGAGGAAGAGGAAGGGGAGGTGGACAGTGAGGTGGAGTTACCACGGAGACGGTGAGAATATACATCTTATACATTATACTGTATATAGTCAAGATTATAGTGTATTATTGGTGTGATAAAAAGAGCTTGTGTCTGAGTTTGAGAGCCCCATTATTTCATCTATTTCCTCTCTTCCCCATGCAGTCGGCCAGTGAGCATCAACAAGTGCCAGTCCCTGTCTACCTTCAGCTCTGAGAACCTGTCAGCAGTGTCCGTGTCGGACGGAGAGGAGGGCAACACCAGCGACCACTCCCACAGTGGCACGCCGGACGTGGTCAGCACCAACACAGATGAACGCCTGGACGACAAGAGCGACGACCTTCTGTCCCAGGGGTCGGAGATCCCTGCCGACCCTGCCCTTGACCCAGCTGAAGGCCTATCAGAGGAGGCCACCATCCGCCAGGTCAAGACCCACCTCAACACAGAGCAGAACTATGAGGTAGGAAGGGACAGGGTTACTATGGGAACTGTAGAACTATGAGGTGGGGTACCGTGACAACTAGAGCTATGACCAAGGGTTACCGTGACAACTAGAACTATTGTAGGGTTACCATGAGAACTGTTATGTTTAGCAATAATCGACCGAGAAATGATGAGAGACGGAATCCCCATTATAATGCATGCTCTGATCATTAAGGCTGCCATCACTATAACAGAATATAGGTCTACATTTGGATTTTGCTCTTGAGTAGGGATCAGTGGCGGCCGCTGATTGGCTGGGGTGTGGGCGTGGGGGTGGTCGTGGTTGAAGTTGTCAACAAAACAGCATGACAGAAATATGGCAAGTTTTAGAAATACTGGTAGTTTCTTTGAGAAGATATTTAAAGCGATCTGTGCATTTGAACAACAGCATAAATACACCTATTTCACTTTTGCATGTTAAAAAACAAATGACCAATGCTGCACATGCTGCCACTGTTTTGAACAGATTATATTATATTATATAGAACGAGCAGCCAGCTCACGAACAAACAAGTGCCCCAGGGAGAACGCAACAAGTATGCAGATGCAATAAGTGAAAACACATGATCTAACTGGGATAGCTAATGTCACAAACCTTGATGTGCTAGCCAGTTAACTTTCATTATGAAATAACTTCACATTTACGAGTAAGTCAGATATTAGTTTAGATAGATTTGAAATTGGCATGGGAGCTAACTAGATAGCAAGCTACCAGCTAGCTATAGCTAGCTAACTACTTATCAAAGGTAGATAACTGGTTAATTTGACCAAAACATTTACCAAACTATTTTTCAATGTTTCTCAAAATTACTGTAGCTGGCTAATTAATTTGATCATGCTTTGTGATACACCGGTTTTATGCTGTTTTAGTCCACCCAACATGCCGCCCTGTCACCTACAGTAGAACCTGATGAACACCGTGGGGGGGAAACAATCAAATTGTCTAGCCACAGTCATGCTTTTTTGTCCTACTACATCCGCAATGAGAAAGTTCTAGCAAGTGTATCCATCTGTCCTTGGACTCTTGTTGGATGTAGATGTCCCGTTTATCAGGTCCCAGGCTCCAATGACTGTTATGATTATTTATTTCCAAGTTAATTACAATTAGCTCTTTGTTTTAACGCCATCTGTACCTGATAGAGCAGATCTAGTCTCATGTGCGGAAGAAAGCATTCTGGTGCGAGAGACTCATTAGGAGGGAGGCTAGAGCAGACCCAGAAGTTCTGACTGAGCGCACATTTGAGTGCCCCAGGACGGTCCATTTACCTTGTGCTGTCAAAATTGATGCTATGCGATTTCACAGCTTGTTTTGAACAATATACACTCTATATACAAAAGTACAGTGCATTCGGAAAGTATTCAGAACCCTTGACTTTTCCCACATTTTGTTACGTTACAGCCTTATTCTAAAATTGATTAAATTGTTATATTCCCTCATCAATCTACACACAATACCCAATAATGACAAAGCAAAAACAGTTTTTTTTACAATTGAAATATCACATTTACATAAGTATTCAGACCCTTTACTCAGTACTTTGTTGAGGCACCTTTGGCAGCGATTACAGCCTTGAGTCTTCTTGGGTATGACGCTACAAGCTTGGCACACCTGTATTTGGGGAGTTTCTCCAATTCTTCTCTGTAGATCGTCTCAACCTCTGTCTGGTTGGATGCACAGCTATTTTCAGGTCTCTCCAGAGATATACGATCGGGTTCAAGTCTGGGCTCTGGCTGGGCCACTCAAGGACATTCAGAGACTTGTCCCGAAGCCACTCCTGCGTTGTCTTGGCTGTGTTGTTAGGGTAGTTTTTCTGTTGGAAGGTGAACCTTCGCCCCAGTCTGAGGTCCTGAGTGCTCTGGAGCAGGATCTCTCTGTACTTTGCTCCGTTCATCTTTCCCTCGATCCTGACTAGTCTCCCAGTCCCTGCCGCTGAAAAACATCACCACAGCATGATGCTGCCACCACCATGCTTCACTGTAGGGATGGTATTGGCCAGGTGATGAGCGGTGCCTGGTTTCCTCCAGACATGATACTTGGCATTCAGGCCAAAGAGTTCAATCTTGGTTTCATCAGACCAGAGAATCTTGTTTCTCATGGTCTGAGAGTTCTTTAGGTGCCTTTTGGCAAACTCCAAGCGGGCTGTCATGTGCCTTTTACTGAGGAGTGCCTTCAGTCTGGCCACTCTACCATAAAGGCCTGAATGGTGGAGTGCTGCAGAGATGGTTGTCCTTCTGGAAGGTTCTCCCATCTCCACAGAGGATCTCTGGAGCTCTGACAGAGTGACCATCAAGTTCTTGGTCACCTCTCTGACCAAGGCCCTTCTCCACCGATTGCTCAGTTTGGCCGGGCGGCCAGCTCTAGGAAGACTCCTGGTGGTTCAAAACTTCTTCCATTTGGAGGCCACTGTGTTCTTGGGGACCTTCAATGCTGCAGAACTTTCTTGGTACCCTTACCCAGATCTGTGCCTCGACACAATCCTGTCTCGGAGCTCTACGGACAATTCCTTCGACCTCATGGCTTGGTTTTTGCTCTGACATGCACTGTCAACTGTGGGACCTTATATAGACAGGTGTGTGCCTTTCCAAATCATGTCCAATCAATTGAATTTACAACAGGTGGACTCCAATCAAGTTGTAGAAACATCTCAATGATGATCAATGTAAACAGGATGCACCTGAGCTCAATTTTGAGTCCTATAGCAAAGGGTCTGAATACTTATGTAAATAGTATTCAAAATTGAAAAAACTTTTTTCACTTTGTCATTATGGGGTATTGTGTGTAGATTGATGAGGGGGGAAAAAGTATTTAAGCAATTTTTGAATAAGGCTGTAATGTTTTTAAAAATGTAGAAAAAGTGAAGGGGTCTGAATACTTTCCGAATGCACTGTATGTGGACACCCCTTCAAATTAGTGGATTTGGCTATTTCAGCCACACCCGTTGAAGACAGGTGTATAAAATCGAGCACACAGCCATGCAATCTCCATAGACAAACATTGGCAGTAGACATTCAACGTGGCACCGTCATAGGATGCCACCTTTCCAACAAGTCAGTTCGTCACATTTCTGCCCTGCTAGAGCTGCTCCGGTCAACTGTAAGTGCTGTTACTGTGAAGCGGAAACGTCTAGGAGCAACAACAGCTCAGCCTCGAAGTGGTAGACCACACAAGCTCACAGAACGGGACAGCCGAGTGCTGAAATAATAATAATAATAATAATATGCCATTTAGCAGACGCTTTTATCCAAAGCGACTTACAGTCATGCGTGCATACATTTTTTTTGTGTATGGGTGGTCCCGGGGATCGAACCCACTACCTTGGCGTTACAAGCGCCGTGCTCTACCAGCTGAGCTACAGAGAAGCGCGAAGTGTGTAAAAAACGTCTGTCCTCGGTTGTAAAACTCACTATCGAGTTCCAAACTGCCTCTGGAAGCAACGTCAGCACAAGAACATGCTCGGGCCATGGAAATGGCTTTCCATGGCCCGAGCAGCCGCACACAAGCCTAAGATCACCATGCGCAATGCCAAGCGTTGGTTGGAGTGTTGTAAAACTCGCCGCCATTGGACTCTGGAGCAGTGAAAACGCATTCTCTGGAGTGATGAATCACGCTTCACCATCTGGCAGTCTGGCGGACGAATCTGGGTTTGGCAGATGCCAGTAGAACGCTAGCTGCCCCAATACATAGTGCCAATGGTAAGGTTTGGTGGAGGAGGAATAATTGTCTGGGGCTGTTTTTCATGGTTCGAGCTAGGCCCCTTAGTTCCAGTGAAGGGAAATCTTAACGCTACAGCATACAATGACATTCTTGACGATTCTGTGCTTCTAACTTTGTGGCAACAGTTTGGGGAAGGCCCTTTCCTGTTTCAGCATGACAATGCCCCCGTGCAGAAAGCGAGGTCCATACAGAAATGGTTTGTCGAGATCAGTGTGGAAGAACTTGACTGGCCTGCACAGAGCCCTGACCTCCACCCCATCGAACACGGATGAATTGGAACGCCGACTGGCCTAATCACCCAACATCAGTGCCTGACCCCACTAATGCTCGTGGCTGACTGGAAGCAATTCCCTACAGCAATGTTCCAACATCTAGTGGAAAGCCTTCCCAAAAGAGTGGAGGCTGTTATAGCAGCAAAGGGGGGACCAACTCCATATTAATGCCCATGATTTTGGAATGAGATGTTCGACGAGCAGGTGTCCACACACCTTTGGTCATGTAGTGTATTTTTTAAACAGGAAAATGTACACATTAACACACTTTTATGAGCATTTAAAACATAATCCATGAATTATTGAATCAATTGTTTTCAATACAATTTTCAATTTTTTTCTCCATAACGCCTTAATGGGCAGGCCGCCACTGGTAGGGCCCATCCTTTTCCCTGATCACTAGGACCCAGTTTTAGGTGAAATGATATTTCCAGGTCAGGTAATACTCAGGTGGCATGGCTAGAAAAAACTGTATTAATAACCAGTCGCAATGCAGTAATGCCCATCCTCTAACTCTAACTCTGCCTCTCCTCCTCACTCCAGAGTCTGTATGATGACTCTGACTGTGACAGTGCTGAGCTGGACTACTCAGGCTGCACAGAGCCCCAGCCCCAGAGGCCCCCCAGCACCAACTGGTGAGGAGGCCAGGCCCCAGCCTCAGACTGAGACCTAGGCCCACTCCCCCCAGACCTCAGCCCCAGCCTCCTCGACAGACCTATGTACAGCCAACCAAGCCCCCCCACCCTCACCTCAACCTCATTTCCCAGCCCCAGCCTTGCAAAAACACTTCAACAAGCCAACTCACCTCACCTACAGGGACCTCTGCAACACCAGACTACGGATGTAACTTCTACATGTTATAGGGATTCTTTCACTATCCAGACCGTAGTTTGTTACTTCTATTTTTTGTCAAAAAATTGTCAAACTTCATTATCTATTCTATGTAAAGTCTCCCATTCAGATTTTGTAAATATAATATGTCAACATTGTCAGAGGCATCTGGTGTTGTTTTCTGCACTTTGTTTACTTGATTGGTACTGATTATTTTATGTCCAAAATCCTTTGTTTCCTCACAAGCGTTATGCACTGAGTGTCATTTAATTTATTTATTGGGTATTAGAGAGAAAATCAATGTTTACATTCTTCTTCTTTACATTTTCACATGTATTTATAAATGTTTTGCATCAGAGATTTTGTTGTCCTAATCTTTTATACAATCTGTATTTTATTTAACATAACATTAACTGTATGTAAATATTTGGACCTCTTGACACACTTTACAATTAATAGACATATTTGAATGAGTTGAAATGCAAGACTGTATCATCTAATGGTGCTGACTGATGTTTTACACTAGAGGGCGCTATTGAATTGTACCGGACAACAGAACTCAGGAGCATTCAGCAGGGCACAACGTTGTGGATAGTTCAGATAGAAATAGATTATGTAGAACAAACATACCTCTCTGACATGTAGAACAAATTAATCATGTCAGCTCTATTCATGACATTTCTATCTGAAACATTCAACGTTTGCCTACTGAACCTGGCCCTGAACATATATTCTATTGGTCTGGTACCGGAAGGCATTAATAAGCATAGAAATAGAATCTAATCTAATAATTATATTTCTATGGCAGTAAAGACACAGGTTGAAGGGAACAGAACAATAATAGCTAAAGAACAACACCAAGCAATATGTCCACTAACTCTGAATCATTCCCCTGGCTGCACCATGGAGTACACTCAAACTACAGCCCCTTTCTTTCAGGGTCTGACAGCACTTGTTTTTGTAGATTAACTATTGTATTTATTTGGTATTGCAGTGTTTATACTGTATTAAAATGCAATACTACCTACTAGGATATCTTTGAGAACAAAACCTCAGGTCAAATCTCAAATGGCACCGTAATCCCCACAGCTCTGGGTCAAAAGTAGTGCACTTCATAGGGAATAGAGTGCCATTTGAGACAAAGCCTCAGTCACCGACCATGTGCATTGCCATCTAGAAGTGTAAAGATACTTGAGCAGTTCACTAAAGCATGGTTGTAATATACTTGTATTGTATTTTTGTCCAAATGCAGATGTTAGTCAGAGCATGAGGCTCAGATCAAAGGGACTTAGTCAGCCATAGAAACAGAATCTATAGAAAAAAGGGATTCTACCACTCACTAATTAACTATCCATCTCTATGAAAACTATCCAACTCATGAGCAGCAGACTAGTTTGTTCCTAAACTAACTAATTGTCTGGCAACTAGTTAGTTTCCTGTCAACTAAGGTTGCGTCCCGATTCTAAATCCTTATCACCTAAATGCGCACTTGTTCACTTCCCTTCTTGGATTGAAAAGGAAAGGAATGCTGTAAGAAATATGGTGGAACCACCCTCTGCCAATCCAAATATACTTTTTTTTATCCATGGGGAGGAGTGAGCAAGTGTAAACTTGGCCAGAATTGGGACGCAATAGAGGCCTATGTTTAAACAGCCTCCTTTCCGTCCTCTCCTGTAGTGTTGGCAGAATTCTGTTCTGACTAATCTATCGAATGACTCAGCAGGTTCCATTTGATAAGCTATAAAATGGCAGCTCCTGTGTTCTTTAATCTGTAAGGTTTTATAGATCCACTAGTGTTTATTTTATGTAAAAGCATCGATTTATAAAAAATTTAAAATCTCAGAATCTATTCTGTCCCCTTCAGTCAAACAATTGTTAGACAAATAAGTCTTATACTGGATGTCAACCAGACATATACAGTCAGGGCCATAATTATTGGCACCCTTGATAAAGATGAGCAAAAAAAGACTGTATAAAGTAGATACAAACATTGAGCTATATTGTATGCAACAAAACAATAGTTGAAATGATATTATTTTATAATACAATTGCTCAGAGAAAAATATTTAGTTTAAGTACGGTAATAAATAAACGAAAGTATATATATAGGGGTCAAAATTATTCGCACCCATTTTCAATACTCTAGCACCCTCTCCTAGCGAGGACAGTGAGACGGAGCCTTTTTCTAAAATGTTTTATGAGATTGGAGAACATGTTGGGAGGGATCTTGATATCGTTTGTCTGCTCTTATAGCACCAGTTCCAATCCAATTGCCAATGCCATTTATCAACCTCCAGACAGTGCTTTGGTCAGATAACATGGAAATAGAGCTCTTTGGCCACGCACACCAGTTGTGGGTTTGGCGTTGAAAAACAGAAGCATATGCAGAATAGTTTGTCATACCTACGGTAAAATATGGTGGTGGATCTTTGATGTTATGGGGCTATTTTGCTTCAACTTCTCCGGACTTGAACCCCATTGAAAACCTGTGGTTTGAATTGAAGAGTGCAGTCCATATCCGCAGACAAAGGATATTAAGGATCTGGAAATATTCTGTATGGAGGAATGCTAAGATCCCTCCAAATGTGTTCTCCAATCTCAAAACATTTTAGAAAAAGGCCAGTGTTGTTATCCTCGGAAAGGGGAGGGTGCTGGAGTATTGAAAACAGGGGTGCCAATCATTTTGACAATCTGAGATTTTGTTTTATTTTATTACCTGTACTTGTTAAACACAATCTCATTCTCTGAGTGATTGTGTTAGTATAAAACATAATTCCCCAAAAAAATTGCGCATGCAAAATAGCTCAGTATTTGTATTATTTATTTTAGTCTTTTTTGTTCATCTTTTTCAAGGGTGCCAAAAATGTTGGACCTGACAAATTATTAATTGTTTTGCCAATACAGCAAAATACCACTGCCCCGTTGTGACTGGAGAAAGAGGCTCTTTCTTGTATGTTTCTGATTAGCCTGCTTCCAGATCTGTTGATTTGTCTTATCAAGTCTCTATGGTCAATGTCACGTTAATGTTTGTGCAGAACAACACTAACAGATTTGGCTTCAGGCTAGTTTTCAATATGCTGAATCAAAAACAGACTTCTCGTTCCTTTGAAAGTAAATGTTTGTTTTTATATTGCATTATGTATTGTATCTGTGTACAATAAATATATTTAAGAAACAAATTAAGACAAATAAAAATCACTGTTCAAAAACTGGAAATGTGGGTGTCAGGTTTTAATTCTGGGTAAGTGTTATAGGTTTTCATAAAAGCAATGACCATTCCAATGAACTTCAGAGTGCCCAGTATAATAACTGTATTGCACATTGTGAAAAATGCCACACACACACGACTGGGAGCAACACAAAGAACGAGAATTTGTAGTTTGAGCATTTCACATTTTATTTCTGTAGTTTTTTTTTTAACAATGTTGTGGCACCCAAGGTCTACATTATTTCCAAAACGTGCACAAAAGTGTTATTATATTTCCTGCAAATAATACAAAATTAAATATGCCTTGAGCAAAGAAAGCAAAGAGCAGGAAATTAATTAATTTATCGCCAGGTCTTAGTTTCAGCTCATCAACGATTCATAATATCTTAGTTTCTCTCCTCACACTCACAGACAGACACACCAGTCAGTCATAGTTCAGGAGTTTCTCTCCTTTGGTAGTTAAAACAAATATTTCCTCCATTTAAGAAACATGATCACACTGGGGGGGCAAAAGTCAAGGTGGAAAAATAGGAATGACACAAACAAAAAAAGTTTAGGTGACATGAGTACATACAGTTTGAAATTATTTCAACAAATGCAATATCCACGTCTTCTAGTAGTGTTAGAGCTGTTTGTCATACCCAAAATACCAGCAGTGACGACAGCACAAGGTACGTATCCCCCCCCCCCCCCCCTTATATTCCGCGAGCATTGTGACATAACAGGAAGTGACAATCAAATCAAGGTGTGTTTTTGCAGAAATTCAATGGATAAAATTACTAGGGGGATGCAGGATGGTTGGGTGGGAGTGGGGGATAAAAAAGCCCATTAAAAAACAGTCAATCTATTTTTTGTTTGAACTAAACCTATTCAGATTTTCCCCACCTCTACTCTTGTGATGCTGTAAAGAAAGATAGGGAGAAAGTTCTCCATCCAACAAAAAAATTATCTAAGAACAAATCATTAAAAACTTCCAACCGGGACTCAAAGGGACTTAAGAATAATAATTTTTAAACAGAAAAATGAAAGCAGATCAAAATAATCAGGTGGGTGGCGTTGGATAGTTGCATTGACCACTTTAAAAGGAGAACGCTGACTGATGGATCAATTGGTGGTAGAAGGTAAAATGTGGGGGGGGGGGGGGGGGGGGGGGGGGGGGTTAGTGCAGATCACATCTATGCAGTCTGTTCTATCAGTTGGCCGCCAGTCCTGTCGCTTCAGAGGAGAGCCTGGAGAGAGACACATTGAGAGATCGAAGGGGGAGAGAGTAAGCCATGCTGTGCGTTTCAAATCAGATCGATAAAATCGGAGAATTTAACCTTTTACAAACCTCCACAACCCTTTTTTCAGTTCAGAAAATGTCTACCCAATAGATAAGCCTCGAGGTGTATTAACTATCAATGGATAAGAGGATGTTTCCTTGACATCAACCTCTTCAAGGAGTGTATTCCATGTCCTTCCATATCCCCTTACGGTCACTGACCTCTGATCAGTGCTAAAAAATTGTAGTGCAGCGGTGATTGCCAGCGAAAGGCTAAAGGAAGCAGCTATGGCTCGATTCAAGAGTCCTAATCTAGGCATTACGAGGACATCCATTTCCTGAAATTGTACAGGTCCAACAACCCATGAATAGCGGGGCGATATGATACCTGAGGGCAAACTATTATAGTGATTAAGCCCAACGTCACACCATGTGGCAGTTCGATACATAAACAAAACAAGATTTTAGCATTATAATGAACACTTTACAACAAATACAACTAGCTACCACACACATTATCCAGGACAAAGTTAATATTGAAATAAATGAAATATAGCATGAGATCTTAATATAAAGATGGCATGAAAGGTGCTACCTGAGCTTACAGCAAGAGAGAAAAACCAACCAAAAGCTTTTCAATTAGTCAAGTTGAAGTCTGTCTGAGACAAGGGTGTCCATGCTGATGCAGTGTCCTTAGATAGAAAGAGCAGGGACTCAAGTGTCCTTCAAGAGGGTGAGGGGGGGGGTATGGGATAGATAGACGTAAACCAAAGCAGTGGACCCAAAGAACATGGAAGAGAGAGGCCATATCTGGGCGTGTAACCTTTTCTTTTTTGTTGATGAATTGTATAGTTAAGAAGCATGTGGCATAGGGCACAGCCAGGTACAGAGCAGTGCGGACCAAGTACAGACAATGCTAAGCTACATCCCAAATGGCACCTTATTCCCTATAAAGTACACCACTTTTGACAAGGGCCCTGGTCAAAAGTGGGGCACTATATAAGGAATAGTACCATTTGGGACACACTTCATGTCTGTACTGTAGTTTCTATTATTGCCGTAGCTTTAGTAAGGAGAGAGCCTTCGCCTCTTAGACTTGGAGCCCAGCTCCGAGGAAAGCTTTGGCTCGGGATTGGCTGAGTGGGCAGGGTTACTGGAGGAGGTGGGGCCAGTGGAAACAACATGGAGGGCCAGGAGGGGGAGGGACTTAAGACTGAGCAGACTGGAGACACAGGGGACAGCAGGGGAGCTGGGGGAGATTGGGGAGTCAGAGGGTCCTTGAGGAGCCAACAAGGACAGAGAGATGGAGGCGGAGGGGGGCGCCAAACAGGAGGAAGAAGAGGAGGAGGAGGAAGCAGTAGAGGAGGTAGCGGCAGGAGAGGAGGTGGTAGTAGTGGAGAGAGGAGGGCAGAGGAGGCTGGTGCTGTGGGTCTGTTCAGGGTTCGAGGAGGAGAATTTAGAGGACTCTACGCTGTAGAAACGAGACAAGAAGGAAAAAGAGGGACACACAGTCGGGATGGGTTACAGGATAGGCTGGTGAGTATGGGGGGAGGGAGGAGGGGTAGACATCAGGGTTGGGAGGGTGGATGAGGGGGAATATTAAGCACAGACTGACAGTCAGGGAGGGGTGTGAGAGTCGGACAGGTATAACACAACTGACCATAGTGGGCCATCAGTGAGTAAACATCATTAGAAGACTGACTCATGTTTCAATAGACAATGTGCGTGTTTGAGATCGACTACGTTCCAGCCGGACTGCGCAGGATCGCTGATCTACAAATCACCTTGCATCCCCGAATAACTACTCATTATGTGATCAAGATGAGCGATTCTGTTGCCTCATCTTGTTCAAACTGATCCCCTCAAACATGGTGAACTATTCAGAATAGAGCCAGTAGAGTACAACACATGCCATGGATAGAAGTTGGGGGTTAGGCAGTCATCTAACACAAACACTGGACACATTGTACTGTAGGCAGACTAACTGGGAAGTACCCAAATGTCAAAAGGAAGTACAGTGGTGTGGGGTAGATGAGAGTGGTGTGGGGTAGATGAGAGTGGGTGGATTCTCAATTATACAGAAAATACCAAAAGGGGCTTGGTAGAATACTGGGCTACCTTAGTTCTGGAGAGCTGTGTGCTTTTGTTCCAACCCAGCTGTGTTAGTTTGTGTTGGGCTGGATCAAAAGCCTCCTGCACCAACCAACTGTGGTGCTCCAGGACCAGAAACAAAATTACAGAAAGTTCCCAGAACCCAAAGTTCCCAGGTTTTTCAGAAAACTTGGTTGGAGGATTTCCGGAATCAGGAGTTAACATGCAGGGAGGTAATCCTCCAACTGGGAATCATCCATCCCAGGAATTTGGGGGATGTTTCTGGAATTTTGCAACCCAAAGACAATTTATCCCTGACTCTTAAGAGGACAACAGTTGGTAGTTGGTTAAAAAGCGTGTGGTAAACTAATGTTGTGTCTGACCTGGCGTTGATGAGGTACTCTGCCAGGCTGATGGAGGCGGGGGAACCAGTGATGGTGACCTGTCTGTCCGCGGAGCCCTCCACGGAGTTGGCTATCTTTATCTGGGCACCCGACATCTGGCGGATCTCATTGATCTTAGCACCCTGGCGACCGATGATGCAGCCAATCAACTAGAGGAGGGAAAAACAGGAAGTCAGTTACGCCAAATCAACTCCAGGGGAGAAAAACCAGGAAGTCAGTTAAGCCAATCAACTAGAGTGGATTGGATTGATAGTGTGAAATGTCTAAATCGCTGGAGGGAAATGGAAGGGGAGGGTCAGAGTCATCACTGTGGAAATACTTACATCATTTGGAATGGTCATCTCATGGGAACTAGTTTGGGCAGAGGCATCCATCCCTCCTAAATCAACAAGCCAAAAATACATCAACAAAACAAGGATCAAGAGGAACATGGCACTCTTCATGATATGTAAATGCCATTATTGTAGTGGCATGTTCCATGGAACAAAATCTTAACTGACATTTCAGCAGGTAAAGCTGAAAGTCAAGGACTTCTCTTTCTATCAGTGTGACACACCAACGATGGCCCGACAGCCAAAACGTTTCTATTTTGCTAGTTGCCTCAACAAATAAAATAAGCATAAAATAACTTTTGAGCGCAGACCTACTCTATGTTTTTATTTAGTCAACACACCAGTTCTGAGCGCAGTAGTTTCAATAACCTTTACAAACTATATTCTCAAGTCCCCTAGTACCTTGGAATCCTTGGTTGCTGGGGGCCATTGGGAAGGGGCTCTGCTGCATGGCCAGCTGGTGTAACTTGGTGAGCTGTGGAGAGATAGAGGAAGACTGTGAGGGCAAGAGAGGGGGCAGGGAGGGAGGAGAGAAATGGAGAGAGAGACGGGACAAGAAGCATGGTCAGTACGGTACCGAAACCATTTCATTCACCACAACATTCATTCATAATAGTAGTTGGAGTAGTGTTCATTACGTACCAAACTGACTGAAACAGGGAGAGACTACCTGTTGGAAAACTCTGTTGCATGCCCTAATGAACACACGGCCCAGCTATCTTGACCAGTTGTCCTATCTTATTTTCTTTCTCTAAAATGGACAAGTGTTGGGTGGGTTGTGGAATCATTCTTAGTCATTTGTACCCCATGGTCTTTCCACTGTAGCTCAGGAGAACTTGGGACTCAGTTTGGAATGTTTGCTTGTAGTCTTCTGGCAGATGGATATGATCTTTCCTTGCCCCTACCAACCAGGCCCACACATCAACTACAGGCCATGGTATAATCAATACAGTAAAACTTAAGACAATAATACAAGATCAATAGTGAACATATACATCATTTCTTAAGCCATAACCCAGTGCTATGTTGAGAATAACATGATTGGTTAATACACTAACTCCTCTAAATTGGAGTGTCTAATAATGTCATCTCTTCACCATGATGCTCGTTGGAGTTTGTGAACAAATCCTTCCTCTTTAGGCGTCACAACTAGGCTGGGTTTGGAGCCTCTAACCTACAGTCTATCCCACACCTTTCCCTAGCGCACTGGTTGGAGTGAGGGTAGGTTGGGAATGGTGGGCAGGGAGGTCCATAGGATAGGTAACTGGGGGGCATAAATTGAGAGGTGAAGGGTAGGGATGATAGCGTAAGGTAGGAAAGGTACGGACAGTTAAGGATGTTAGGGAAAAGACAGAGGGTAGGGAGGATACGGACACCAGGAGGAAGAAATTGTGACAACAGCACTTACATCTGGCTGGGGTATCGCATGTTGTCCTTGAACGGCGTACGCCTGAAACAAGAACAAAGTGTCCATAGGCATCCTGTCAACATGTCACGATTCGCAGCCACAAGAGTAGGCAGGACAAACGTATGTTAGAAGGTTCAAAGTATCATTTGTATTCCTAAAACACGTTGAAAATGATGCTGTTGCTGCTTCCTGTTGTCATGGATTTATAGCCCAGTGTCAAAACAATGAATATGCTGAAATAGGTTGTGATATTTTGAAGACCAAAACATAGAAAGTAATCTACACATACAGCACCAGTCAAAAGTTTGGACACACCTACTCACTCAAGGGTTTTTCTTTATTTTTACTATTTTCTACATTGTAGAATAATAGTGAAGAAATAACACATACAGTGCTATGAAAAAGTATTTGCTCCATTTCTAATTTTCTCTACTTTTACATATTTGTGATACTGAATGTTATCAGATCTTCAACCTAAACCTAATATTAGATAAAGGGAACATAAGTGAACAAATAACACAACAATTACATATTTATTTCATAAACAAAAGTTATGCAACACCCAATTCCACTGTGTGAAAAAGTAATTGCCCCCTTACACTCAATAACTGGTTGTGCCACCTTTAGCTGCAATGACTCCAACCAAATGCTTCCTGTAGTTGTTGATCAGTCTCTCACGTTGCTGTGGAGGAATTTTGGCCCACTCTTCCATGCAGAACTGCTTTAACACAGTGACATGTGGGTTTTCAAGCATGAACTGCTCGTTTCAAGTCCTGCCACAACATCTCAATTGGGATTAGGTCTGGACTTTGACTAGGCCATTCCAAAACTTCCAATTTGTTGCTTTTTAGCAATTTTCATGTAGATTTGATTGTGTGTTTTGGATCATTGTCTTGCTGCATGAACCAGCTGCGCTTCAGCTCACAGACAGATGGCCTGACATTCTCCTGTAGAATTCTCTGATACAGAGCAGAATTCATGGTTCCTTCTATTAAGGCAAGTCGTCCAGGTCCTGAGGCAGCAAAGCATCCCCAAACCATCACACCACCACCACGCTTGACCTTTGGTATGATGTTCTTACTGTGGAATGCAGAGTTTGGTTATCGCCAGGCATTACTGGAACCATGTCGTCCAAAAAGTTATACTTTTGAATCATCTGTCCATAGAACGTTCTTCCAAGAGTCTTGATGATCATCCAGGTGCTTTTTGGCAAACTTGAGTCAACTTTTTGGACGAGATGGGTCCCATTATGCCTGGCGAAAACCAAACACTGCATTCCTGCAAGACAAATTTGCGATTTTTGGTTCCAACCGCCGTGTCTTTGTGAGACACAGAGTAGGTGAACGGATGATCTCGGCATGTGTGGTTCCCACCGTGAAGCATGGAGGTGGTGTGATGGTGCTTCGCTGGTGACACCGTCAGTGATTTATTTAGAATTCAAGGCACACTTAACCAGCATGGCTACCACAGTATTCTGCAGCAATACGCCACTCCATCTGGTTTGCGCTTAGTGGGACTATCATTTGTTTTTCAACAGGATGATGACCATAAACACACCTCCAGCTTGTGTAAGGCCTATTTGACCAAGGAGAGTGAAGGAGTGCTGCATCAGATGACCTGGCCTCCACAATCACCTGACCTCAACCCAATTGAGATGGTTTGGGATGAGTTGGACCACAGAGTGAAGGAAAAGAAGCGAACAAGTGCTCAGCATATGTGGGAACTCCAAGACTGTTGGAAAAGCATTCCTCATGAAGCTGGTTGAGAGAATGCCAAGAGTGTGCAAAGCTGTCATCAAGGCAAAGGGTGGCTACTTTGAAGAATCTCAAATACAAAATATATTTGGATTTGTTTAACACCTTTTTGGTTACTTCATGATTCCATAGGTGTCATTTCATAGTTTTGATGTCTTCACTATTATTCTACAATGTAGAAAATAGTAAAAATAAAGAAAAACCTTTGAATAAGTAGGTGTCCAAACTTTTGACTGGTACTGTACGTCACACTTTTGTTCAGATTACTTTTATTTTGCTAAATTAGTACCTTAAAAGTGCACACACGCCAACTTTTGCCAAACATCCACTCTAAACTGGAACTGATTAGCTTATTCAACTGTAATAGCACGCGCAAATTAATCACTCGCATCGATATTGCAATCAATGAAACTGGGACAATAACCGCAGCGACATGTACCATTTGCGCTCTTCTTACAGACAAAACCACAACGAACTATACAACGTATACCTGTCGATAGATAAGAACCTGTAGTAGCCATTTATCAACCCATCTCCTTGTGCCAAAGTTTACGGTAGATGGCGAATACAAAAAAAGTAACTGACTGGATAATTTCAACAAATCAGTATATTGTGTAGATCAGTGGGGTAAAATCCCAATTGAATCCCTTTTTAGATAGAAATGTAAAAACTTTGCACGGGTGTGTAGACTGTCACTAGGCATTGTACATCCATCTCACTCATTCAACAATTTAGAGTTTCAAAATGTTTTGAAACAATTTAACAGACTTGAGCTTCCATAGTGTCTGTGCAGCGCCTGAACGTTTGACGTCCCTAACAAGAGTCTATTTTGCTTCAACACACACAGACCCTATAGGTCTACGTCTAAACGCTCTCAAGTACATTTTAAAGTTACCAAGTCTTAAACAAAGTATCCATATTATCGTGAATGATGCAATTTCTAAAGGGATGTTAAAGCGATTGAAAACAAAGCACCATTCTGCCTAGCGCACGTCATAACTTCATTGAACGGTTGTTTTATTGAATTTATAATTTGAAATGTCATGGATATATTAAATTTTGAAAAAGGCTTTTTTCCGTGTTAAAATAAGCCACTACATTCTTGCCCACAAAAAGGAATACTCACGTACGTTCGGATATTCGAATAACAGTGCACATCCCTATTTCTGTTACTAACCACCAGAGATGCCATAACAGTAACATAAAACCAAAGGCTAGGGAAAAGTACCATACACAGAGGTGAAATGGCAAAAACCTACTTGCAAACCCTAACCCTATAAAAATACAGCAAGACAGATAGTCTTATACTCAACTGGCCCTCCACGGATTTTGTGTTAAACGCTCTACAACAAAGCTTTCTTAGTGTCCAACAAGCTTTCTCTGCCCTTAACCTTCTTCTGAACACCTCCAAAACAAAGGTAATGTGGTTTGGTAAGAAGAATGCCACTCGCCTCACCGGTGTGATTACTACCTCTGAGGGGTTAGAACTTTAGGTAGTCACCTCATACAAGTACTTGGGAGTATGGCTAGACGGTACACTGTCGCCCTCTCAGCACATATCCAAGCTGCAGGCTAAGGTTAAATCTAGACTTGGTTTCCTCTATCGTAATCACTCCTCTTTCACCCCAGCTGCCAAACTAACCCTGATTCAGATGACTATCCTACATTACGGAGACGTAATTTATAGATTGGCAGGTAAGGGTACACTTGAGTGGCTAGATGTTCTTTACCATTCGGCCATCAGATTTGCCACCAATGCTCCTTATAGGACACATCACTGCACTCTATACTCCTCTGTAAACTGGTCATCTCTGTATACCCATCGCAAGACCCACTGGTTGATGCTTATTTATAAAACCCTCTTAGGCCTCACTCCCCCCTATCTGAGATACCTACTGCAGCCCTCATCCTCCACATACAACACCCGTTCTGCCAGTCACATTCTGTTAAAGGTCCCCAAAACACACACATCCCTGGGTCACTCCTCTTTTTAGTTTGCTGCAGCTAGCGACTGGAACGAGCTGCAAAAAACACTCAAAATGGACAGATTTATCTCCATCTCTTCATTCAAAGACTCAATCATGGACACTCTTACTGACAGTTGTGGCTGCTTCGTGTGATGTATTGTTGTCTCTACCTTCTTGCCCTTTGTGCTGTTGTCTGTGCCCAATCATGTTTGTACCATGTTATGCTGCTACCATGTTGTGCTGCTGCCATGTTGTGTTGCTACCATGTATTTGTCATGTCGTGTTGCTGCGTTAGTCCTAGGTCTCTCTTTATGTAGTGTCTCTCGTCGTGATGTGTTTTGTCCTATATTATACCCCCCACCAGTAAGTTGATGAAATTATCCAAATAAAAAATAATGTATATAAATAAAAAATACCAAAACATACCTGTCCTCCGGCGAAGATGACAGGGGATCCTGAAGGTTTTGGTCGGTATGGGATGGTGACCCCCTTAGGGGGAGACTGGAGAGAAGGAGGGACGGGAGAGAAGGAGAGACAGGAAAATGGGTTTAATTCAGACGTTTTCAAAACACTTTTGTATAAGTGAGTAAAAGATGGGAACCAAAGAGGTTGCAGGGGTAATTTGATCAATTAAGAAAATGATTCATATTTAAACTGAATAAAAATAGATCAACGATCTGAGGATATTACTTACACTTACCTCAAGCATAACCACGCAGATTTGCTTGACACACTCGATTATGGACTGGGGGGTCCCTGCAATGGTGATGGCCCGTTCTGTAGAGTTAGGAAGCATGTCCCCTGCCACTTGTACCTGAGCACCTGTTGACTAGAGAGAGAGGAAGGGGAGAGGGAGAGAGAGGAGAGATTGACTGGTCTGGACTTACATTTTACAGTAACATTTTAGTAATTTAGCAGACGCTCATATCCAGACAAACTTACAATTAGTGCTGGGAACTAAGGTAGGTAAAACGACCACCGATCACAATCACTGCAAGTCAAACCTTCCAAATAGCCACTTTCTGCTAAATCTGTGCTAGTAAGAAAAGACAAGTGCAAATGTGAGTACATTTGTTCTCCCACCCACCTCTCTGATTTCTTTGATCTTGCAGCCTCCCTTGCCGATCAGGGAACCACACTGGCTGGCTGGCACCACGATGCGGAGGGTGACAGGGGGCTTGCTGGTGGCCGTGCTGTTCGTCATGGAGCTGCTGATGTCCTGGGAGAGAAAGAGGAGAGTGATTGATCAACTAACTTACTCCAGAACTTCCACTTGACAACATCATTGATGGATATGCGAGAGGTGTTCAGCCACTCTTGGAGGACAATTGGAAACAAATGTATTGTTAATAAATAACCTTTTTTCTAATCAACTTCTAATAGTCCTCTAGGATTAGCTGAACACAGCACACATCCAGTCGGTTCCTCTATTCATGCACCTTGGCTGTACTGAGAGATAGAGTGAATCAGTTTCGTAAAAGCAGCCAAATCACATTCCATACAGATGCCAAAGTGACAAATAAACAGTTGGGCCTGGACAAGACAGGGTAACTAAGTTACCTCTTCCAGCTTTTCGATGATCATGGAGAATGCTTTGAAGATGGCGGTCGTGGGGCCTGCCAAAGTGATGATCCTCTCAGGACAGTTGCCCTCTGAGATGTTGATGCGAGCCCCGCTCTGGACACAGGGGGAGGGGAAATTCACCATTAGTTATATAAGACGTGCAACTAACAGAACACAAAAAGCTTTACTGTCTTTCAGAAACAGAAGGCATCTGTTCCCACCTCTTCTCTCATCTTCTTCACAGATTCACCTTTCTTGCCAATGATGCTTCCAACTTCCTAAAAGAGAAAAGGAAAAAAATATGCATTTAGAAATGTAATGCCTTAGTCACCTGCTGTGGGAGCTCACTCACCTTGCATCAGCAATCTAATGGTCAGCATGACATTACCTAGCCTTTAGCTCAGTGGGCTAACAGTCTCACCTGCTGTGGGAGCTTACTCACCTTGCCGTGCATGAGCAATCTAATGGTCAGGGTGACATTGAGTCCTCCTTCAATCACACCGGAGTCCATAACTACCACTGGATGGGAGAGTAGCTGCTGCAGAAGGGTCAAAACTGGAGTCTGGTCACAAAGATGGGATCTGGAAGTCAGACAAGAGAACAGTAAGAAAAGTAGAAAAAGTTAGAATAGTGCATAGGAAGAAGAGTAAAGAGGCTGAGGGAAATATTATTATAAGAGTGATACATTTCAATTTGCAGCGCGTGACCTAGCTAAGTAAACTCAACTATGTCCATATAGCCTGCACCTCTACGGTGTAGAGTTGCGATAAGTGTTGGCGGAGAGTACCACCAACTACATCGAGTCGCTATCATGGATGTAAAAATGTACATTATTCTAATGCTTACCTTGTACCTATGTTTGTCCTATGTAACTGTGGGCTTATCTTTGGCTGTTGAATTTCATTGTTTTTTATTAAAAAGTCATTTTATGTGAGGTCTGTCATATTGCGCCCTTTAATCCACGGTTTTTCAATGGAGTAGGACGTTACGATTTCAAACGTACTTTTATAAATATTCTTTAACGCTTACTGTGCACCCGTGCTTGTCAGTTGGAATCCATAGTTTGATAAAAATAATTAAAAATAATAATGCATTCTATGTGTCCCTTGCCAAAACTAGAGTAAGAATCTGCAGTGAAATGACGGTCTGCTCCTTCTCAACAACAGCTACCTCTGCAGAGGTCGCGTCAAATGCTACTTAGATCTATTTTTTAAACTACGGATTTCAGCACCCAAAGAAAAGCTAGTACAAGGTAAGTATTAAACAATATATATTTTTACGAGTATCGACTGATAGCATGGTACACTCCGCCAACACTCAACTCCGTAGAGATATAGCTAACTTTATATGGACAAAGTCGAGTTTACTCAGCTACTAGTGACCCAAACAAGAATGGGGCCTTTTGTGAGGTTGCGTGCATGATCATCATTAGTACTGTATCATGATTCATGCAAAGTAACCTGCCATTAGACTAAAAGTAACAATCAAACTTAGTTGGAGTGGTCATCATAGCAATGATTCACGTGCATCTTTTAGCTTGCTAGTACTAGTAGCACACTGCTGGCTAGTCAGAGATCAATTTCAATGGATAGCTAGCTAGCATGCTAGACTAACTAACAAACAGGTTAATGGTCCCAAGAGTGAATCCCGAGCGAAACTAACTTGGGGTTCAGTTCGTAAATGAATGAACAATGTGTCCGATTACTTGGCTGCAATGAATTTAACTTAACTCATAACTAATGCATGTAGTTTAGCCTCACCGGCCGGCTCTAGTCTAGCGTTTAGTTAGCTAGATTTACGACCTAGCATAGCGCGCTAACTAGCAAGTTAACTGGGTGGCTAGCATCTGTATGTGGAGCATGTGTACATTGTATGAATGGCTGTCCAGTTGTCATTCACGCTAGCAATGTTTCAAGAATATATCGGTTACAAACATCAACACTGGTCATTTACAAATTTACACGCGTAAATAGCATCCATTTGAATGACAAATAAGCTCGTGTGAGCTGCGTGCAAGTAGTGCGGCCTGGCAAATTCACGTGAAGCCTGACTGTGTGTACTAGCTAGCCAGATCCAAGATGCGGTGTGGGTTTATTTGAGATTTTATTGCACACAAATATATAAGATGCTCTTACCTGATCCGTGTTTTGGGATGTGTTGTCGGGGGGAGGGTGGGGTTGTGAGGGTAGAAGGGGAGAGGTTCGGGAGGGTAGAAACCCGGGGGAGAGTTTTAAAAGGATTCGGGGAAGAGGGAAGTGTGAGATGATGATCGGGTTCTCTTCTTCTTCTTCTATGATGTATTGGTGATCCGCAAACAAACGTTAAAGGTGCATGCTGCCACCTACTGTTTTGGAGTGTGTGGTCAATCACGGTTTACAACATTAGCTCCACATTTCTAAATCCTCCTACCTAACTCAGTTCTAATGAGAAAATAAAAAAAGAGCCCTACTAACTAAATTACCCTACATTTCAATCTTAACCTCTCTCCCGAGTGGCTCAGTGGTCTAAGGCCACTAGAGATCCTGGTTCGAATCTAGGCTCTGCCGTAGCCGGCCGCGACCGGGAGACCCATGGGGCGGCACACAATTGGCCCAGCGTCGTCCAGGGTAGGGAATGGCCGGCAGGGATGTGGCTCAATTGGTAGAGCATGGCGTTTGCAACGCCAGGGTTGTGGGTTCGATTCCCACGGGGGGCCAGTATGAAAAATAAATAATGTATGCACTGGATAAGAGTGTCTGCTAAAAATGACTACAGTTTCATCGACCATACACAAACCATTCGCTTGCCAACCAGATGTAATGACGAGTTCAATGTACAATGTCCTAGGCGCAATCGAGCAAACACCACCTGTTCCTTCCTAATGACCTTTGAATCTTGGTCCACTGACCTTTCTTCGGAGGCCCATCTCTTCTACCACACATCTATCAAAATTACTCTGATCTTACATTTGGCCTCACCTCTACCCAGTGGAACATTAATATCAATTATATCTCGTTTTAAAGCTATTTTGGCTATCTGGTCTACAATTGTATTCCCTTCCAAAAATGAAAAAAAAAATGAATAAAAACATCTACTAACGTAATTGTCAACCAGTTTCCCTATATCACTAACTTCTGACCAATCTTTTCTCTACTAAAGTTAGATCAACAACAAGATCTGAGAGTAACCACGGAGGAACATCTATCACCACAGAAGGGCCAACCTCCAACTAGGGCTGTTAAGGTGAACGTATTACCGCCACACCGGCGGCGACGAGTTATGACGGCAGTCAAATTCCACGTGACCGTTTAGTCACGGTAATTAGGCTTCTCCAAGCTCTGATGCTGCTAATGGTCATTAGTAGCCTACCAAACTTGCTAACTGCCTGGTACTCAGCACTCTATTGTCCCTCTAATCACTCTGACATCAATGCAAATGTTATCAAAAATCTATTCAAACACTTCATGAGTGCCCATGAGCTCATGTTGCGCAACATTTTTATTGGCTATCAATACAACAATACAGTCATTTAGCAGACGCTCTTATCCAGATCTCTAGTGGCACAGCTAGCACTGCGATGCAGTGCCTTAGACCACTGCGCCACTCGGGAGGCTATGCAATTGCTTGAGAGTTGATGGCCTCTATTAAAAATAGCTTTCTATAGGCTAAGCCTACTATATTTATTTATCAACATTCCTAATATTAAGGACATTGCTTTGCTTTACAACAGGAGTATAGCCTACCTGGATCTTATGAAAATGAACCATGGGTAAAGCGTCCTCTATTTGCTATTTAAGTGCATAGATTACTTGTATTTTCCCCCCCCCATGTCTCTGTTCCGAGACAGTTGCATGATAATGGTCCATTCTAAATAAAAATAAATATCACATATAGAAAACAAACAAAGGATAACTATTGTAAAATACATTGTGTCCGTAAAATGTATATAGTATGTATAAGCTGGAAGTAGAAGCTTAAGTGTTGTTGTCCATTAGTTTGCTCCAATTAGGGGAGGGGTGGTAGTCTTAGGGGAAAATAATAAAGGAAAACATATTTTTCAAAGATATGTACAGTGCCTTCGGAAAGTATTCAGACCCCACTTTTTCCACATTTTGTTAAGTTACCTCCTCATTCTAAAATGGATTAAATAAAACAAAAATCCTCAGCAATCTACACATAATACCCCATAATGACGAAGCGAAAACAGGTTTTTAGAAATGTTTGCATATTTAAAAAAAAAACAACGTAAAAACAGAAATAACAAATTTACATAAGTATTCAGATACTTTGCTATGAGACTCGAAATTGAGCTCAGATGCATCCTGTTTCCATTGATCATCCTTGAGATGTGTCTACAACTTGATTGGAGTCCACCTGTGGTACATTTAATTGATTGGACATGATTTGGAAAGGCACACACCTGTCTATATGAGGTCCCACAGTTGACAGTGCAATCCGAGAGGATTGTGTCGAGGCACAGATCTGGGGAAGGGTGCAGCATTGAAGGTCCCCAAGAACACAGTGGCCTCCATCATTCTTAAGTGGAAGAAGTTTGGAACCACCAAGACGCTTCTTAGAGCTGGCCGTCCGGCCAAACTGAGCAATCGGGGGAGAAGGGCCTTGGTCATGGAGGTGACCAAGAACCCGATGGTCACTCACAGAGCTCTAGAATTCCTCTGTGGAGATGGGAGAACCATCCAGAAGTACAACCATCTCTGCAGCACTCCACCAATCAGGCCTTTATGGTAGAGTGGCCAGACGGAAGCCAATCCTCAGTAAAAGGCACATGACAGCCCTCTTGGAGTTTGCCAAAAGGCACCTAAAGACTTGCAGACCATGAGAAACAAGATTCTCTGGTCTGATGTAACCAATATTTAACTCTTTGGCCTGAATGCTTCTGGAGGAAACCTGGCACAATCCCTATGGTGAAGCATGGTGGTGGCAGCATCATGCTCTGGGGATGTTTTTCACTGGCAGGGACTGGGAGACTAGTCAGGATCGAGACAAAGATGAACGCAGCAAAGTACAAAGAGATCCTTGATGAAAACCTGCTCCAGAGCACTCAGGACCTCAGACTGGGGCGAAGGTTCACCTTCCAACAGGACAACAACCCTAAGCACACAGCCAAGACAATGCAGGAGTGGGTTCGGGACTGAATGTCCTTGAGTGGCCCAGCCAGAGCCCGGACTTGAACCCGATCAAACATCTCTGGAGAGACCTGAAAATAGCTGTGCAGCAACGCTCCCCATCCAACCTGACAGAGCTTGAGTGGATATGCAGAGAGTAATGGGAGAAACTCCCCAAATACAGGTGTGTCAAGCTTGTAGCGTCATACCCAAGAAGACTCGCGACTGTAATCGCTGACAAAGGTGCTTCAACAAAGTACTGAGTAATGTGTCTGAATACTTATATAAATGTAATATTTCAGTTTAGATTTTTTTTATAAATTAGCAAGAAATTCTCAACCTGTTTTTGCTTTGTCATTATGGGGTACTGTGTGTAGATTGAGGAGGGGAAAAAAACGATTTAATCAATTTTAGAATAAGGCTGTAACCTACCTGTCACGACCGTCTAATGAGGGAGACCAAGGCGCAGCGTTGCG